AAGGCAAATGGCTGACAACCAGTATTATCACCACAGTTTTCTACTAATTAGTATTTACTCTTCTTCATCATGCAGCACCAAGCTACACAGGAGCTTGCAGAATTACTGCTGAAATATGGAGGAGATCCTATAAAATTATTGCACTCATTCTTGTTCATATAGATTAAAAAATGAAATAAGTCATGCTGTATCTTTCTGTCCAGTAAATTATTACAGGAATGTAGCCTTAGACTGATGGGACTTTGGTTTATATTCCACATGTGATGAAAGTAGTTTGAACACACAACTGCTTTCCCTGAAAGCAACTGTCTTGAAAGGAAAATAGCCAATGCAAGTTCAATGTTCATCACAGTTAGGGTGTCTGCCTCTCTTCATAACTCCAAGATGGAAGTATACTGTGACAATCTAGCTACTACAGAAATTTAAGTGCAAGGCCACAATTCAATGACAGGATGCATGCTTTGTAAGTGACATAAAATTCCTCTCCAGGGATCCTAGAAAACTACTGCTAATTTGAGTAAAAAAAACACTGGCCTAGATGGACCAAATATCTTATTATCTCTGCTTTAATTTCCCATATGTTCATTTCTTCTAAATGCATTGGACTGCATAGCAAATTTTGTAAAACCACCTAGAAATCATAAATTGCAGCACAAATGCTATGGGGCACACTTTAACATTCTGAAGAACATTTAAACAGCAGAGATTTAAGGATATGGCCAACTTTCCATTGAGTTCAGCTTGCGTTCCCTTGAGTGTAGAATCTACCCAATTGTAAAATCTTCAGACTAGCCTTTGACTATTAATACCCTGTGCAGTTTGTTTGAAGATATAAAGAGAATTAGTTATCCAGATATACAAAGCAAACAAAAACACAAGAGTAACTGTTTAGTTGCTCAAATTTGGGTTAAAAAAACTCTATAACAATGGGATGAAAATCTAACTGGTTCCAAAGGAGGTACTGCCTTGTTTTTTTTTTGTTGTTGTTGTTTGTTTGTTTTGTTTTTTTGCTTACTCTTTGGCAGCAGGTTGGCTTTCTAATAGCTTTGATCTGTTCTGCCTCACTATTGTCATTAATAATACCCCAGATGAGAAAACAACACATGTCTTGATCTCAGTGGCCCTTCTGGTGACAATACAATGTATGCATTCCAAAAATTCACAAGACCAAAGGAATTGTAGCATTTATGTGAAGTCTTGGCTCTGCCTTTTCCTCTCCTCTGCTTCAGTTCCCCCTGTTTAGGTTTTCTAAATAGTGTAGATGCCTTCCTTTGTATTAGTTTTGGGTGGAGCATAAAAAACCCTCCAGACACCACCATTAGTTGGTCTATTCCATTTGCCTGTATAGAGTTCTTTTCTTTTGCTGGACTCCTCTTTTTCTGCAGCACAGTTACAGTAATTAGAGGTTTGGGCATTGTCTGGTAATCCTAGATCCGAGCAGTCTAAGACAGGCATCCTTAGCATCTGCATTCAGCAGTATTCTACTACCAGCAGTCCCAGAGACAACAGAAGCTTTTGACCAGATTAAGCTTCACAAGAAAGAAGATTAAGACAATTTATAAGCAGCAACTTGTAAACCAGGGGTACTCAACCTTTTTAAACAGGGGGCCAGTTCACTGTTCCTCAGTCTGCTGGAGGGCCAGACTCTAGTTTTTTTAAAAAAACTATGATCAAATTCCTATGCACATTGCACATATCTTATTTTGAAGTAAAAACAAAAAACAAACAAAAACAAAATGGGAACAAATACAATATTGTAAATGAAGAACCACTTTAACTTAGTGTTATGGAATCCTGGATCTGCAGTTTGATCTTTAGGCAGAAAAGGCAAAACAGCTTATAAAATTTTAAATCCCAAGATTCCATAGCATTACACCATAACAGTCGAAATGGTGTCAAACTGCATTAATTCTGCAGTGTAGATGCCCTCTATTTTTCAGCGCTTTAGTTGCATATCATCGGGTGCCCCCTCTTCATATACAACAGTGGTTCTCACCCTTCCTAATGCTGCGATGACTTAATACAGTTCCTCATGTTGTGGTGACCCCCAACCATAACATTATTTTCACAGTTACTTCACAACTGTTATTTTGCTACTGTGATGAATCGTAATGTAAATATCTGATATGCAGGATGTATTTTCAATTATATATTGTGAAAGAGAGAGAGAGAGCATGAGGGGGAGACAGAAAGAACGAAAGGAGCTCTGTACTAGCAGAGCCAAGACTGAGTCCACGGAGAGGGGGCATTCTTCTTGGCAGACCAGATAAATGCCCTCGGCGGGCTGCATGTGGCCATAGTTTGAGGACCCCTGTTGTAAACCATCACTTTGCACCAGGGGTAGAAGACTCCAGAGAGATGACTGCAGCCAGGAAAATCTCCTTTTGTAATATATTGTTTTAAGTTACCTTATAATAGTCTCAGGTGGAGTTAACCCTGTAGTCATCTTGTTTTCAGTAAACTTATTTGGTTATCTTTTCACTTTGCCTAAAGTGCCTCTGTGTTAAAGGGTCTTACTCTTAACTTAAGGTATACAGACAGCCCCCAAATAAAGCCAGACACTATAGTTTTCCCAAAGGCTCAGGCGTGCCATCACAATTTATATAGATCTATTGAAATCCCTGCTATTATTGTGCTAAAGATAGGTTTCATTTGTTGATTAGTATCCTGGAGTTCATGGGGGGAAACCTGGATGAAAGCCTCATTTGTGGGAGAAATCATCTACAGGGCAGGTGGCACACTTACACTGATCACAGTAGCAAACTGTTATAATATGCGATTGCAAAACTTAGTTAGCAAACTAGATACCTATTTGGTAAAGAGCCCTTATGTCCTCTGACTAAGCATTCTCTCTGTTTTAGGAGTAGAGAACATGAAATCCCTCACTCTGATGGACTGCAAATTCCTTCAGCTACTCCAGCACAATCAAAGATGGTGCTTGCAGATCAAAAACATTTAAAGGACTGTCTACTCTTTGCCTTTGCATTATGGTTTCACAGCAATTTATTTCTCTTGGCCTCAGTGGCATGTATTTACTAATGAAAAACTACTGCCCCACCGTACTACTTACAATTGATCACAATAAAATCACACCACCCTTTTGAGGTCAGTTATGTTTGCAGTTGTTCATAAGTGTGAATGAAGTTCACATAGGCAAAGTCACTGGAAAATTACCCAAACTAGAAAATTGCACAAAGGCAATTATCAATTAAAATAAGTTTATTTACAATGGTTCTATAATATACAACCTATCAATTAATTCAAAATAACAAAAGATGTCTTATATACTTAAACTTTGCAATATGAACCACAGAAATATATTTGCATTGTCTTTATTCCATTTTTATCCATATTACCCTTGCACATAAAGAACCCTCACATTTTGTTAAGGAATACAAACCTCAAAATCTATGGAAGTGTATAAACACAGTGTTCTTGCCTTTACACTTTCATCTCCTATGCTAGTGATTCAGGAGATGTACTCATTTGTTCTGAATGCAGATATCTAAAGTTCTTTAACACATAAATGGACAGAAAGGGAGGGAAGGAGGAAAGAAAGGAGAAAGAAAAGAAAAGAAAGAAAGAAAGAAAGAAAGAAAGAAAGAAAGAAAGAAAGAAAGAAAGAAAGGCAGACATAAAAGGAGAAAGGAAAGGGGGAGGAAGAAAGGAAGAAGAACTTGCTTTGAAATAAAACATGCAGGTTTGATGTATTTTTTAAAATGACATTTAAAAGGTAGATGATGTTTGGAAATTATGAAGGAAAGAGTTTGGGTTTTTTTCTTTGTTCTTTTTATGGAAATATTGAGAGTGACAATAATCTGCTAGGGCTTTTCTTTTCATTTATAATGGATTAATATGCGCATGGTACATTCAAAAGTATGTTTCCACTCAATCAGTTAAATCGCAATGTAGAGCTAAATGTGATTGTTATTTCTAAATTGAGGAGACCTATTAAATGAATTGGACTTGCTAAGTATAACTTTCATTGATTCAGTGGGTTCACCTAGAAAACCCAATTGGCTTTAGCTTGCAGTTGTATCAAAACAACCTCAAACTTACTTACTTACCTACTTACTGGATTTATTCATTTATTGTTAGTTCTTGTTCAAAGAAATTAGGAAGACTGAAAAAGCGCCCAGTGATATTTATGGAGCATTTTTTTAAGAATTTACATGCAAGAATCTGCTTTGCTTAAGTGCCAAAAAGCACAGCAAAACCTTAAAATCAACACTGTTGTGTTCATGTTGAGTGAATGTTGCTCGTAATTAATTTTCTATAAAATGTCAGGCATGTGTGAATGAAGTATGGATGTCATTAAAAACCCTGCAACTGTTTTCCTGTTTTTATAGAGTGCACAGAATGCTGCCTAGCAAATAAATGCCATGACAATTTTGGCAACCAGGAATAATTAATAGTCCCATTCTGGGTATAAGCAGATTCCCATATTGATTTCATTCCCATATTGATTCAGTCAGCATCAGTGGCTGAATCTATATTTCCTGCTGTTGTGTAAAGAAATATGCACATAGCTCTGATCAGATTAATGGGCCTGTCAACCCTCAGCCATATTTGGGAAATCAGAGACTGGATCAGTTCCCTTTCTACCCTAGGAGTTATCCCTAGGTAGGCATGGGCACAAGACACTACACCACCTGTATAATTTCTAGGTCCAGGCCAGTAGAACTGGCCAGTAGGTGTCAGGATGACAACAGATACATGAATGAAAACTTCTATATATATAGATCTATTTATATCTTCTGCTATTTTTGTTTTTGAACAATTTTTACTAGGCATTACTGTAATTTAAGTCAGTTCAAATGTACTCAACAAAAAGGAAGGGAGAATCCAGGTAGTATGAAAGAAGGGAGAATAACTTCTGACCTGACATTACCAAAAATGCAAATAAAAAGGAGACACTAAGATGAAAACAAAATAGTGTCATGGATTTACATATGGGGTTTTTGATGGAAACTAGGGCTGGGTTTTAGATCAAAACTCACCATCTCAAAACCACTCCTTTTCATCCGCCTGCAGGACTTGAGGTAAGTACGTATACGCTTTCTGGCACGCTCTTGGTACTCAGGGAATTGTCGCCTGCATGAGTCAATGATAGCCTGGATCTTTTCTTTGGGCTGCTTAGAGATTGGGACCATTCGGTCCAAGTTTTCATCTACAAACAGCCTGACAAACATCTGTTGGCAAGAGGGAGACAGAGGAGAAGGATTTGGAGGGGTGCTTTTTTCTCTTTCTAAGCTTCCTGTCTCAGTTACAGATAGGAAGACGTTTCCTTGGTTGATTGGTTTTAACACTGTGAAGAGAGCTTTGTCATGGAAAGCCAGAAATGTTAAGCAAACAAGGATTCTATTTTAGGGTTGACAAAAAAGACAAGAAAAGATTAGACTGTAGTGTATAGAAATTGTGAGGGAAATAAAACACAGATTCTACAAATAGGTGCTGCATTACATCAGTTATTAACAACGCACTATGATCACTATATTGTTTTTGAACTCTTGTTCCTTCCTCTTCCTCTGCTGTGAACAATCTTTTCATGTGTTATCATGCAAAATTATACAAATTTGAAAAATAACAGAAAATGGCTGACCACTGAAATACACTTCAATGACTATCTGCAGTCTGGATACAATGAGCAAACATGCACACACATATAAACACAAAAACAAATAGCTGAGATATGCTTCAGTTAAAGATGCTTTAAACAACCACATTTGGTGAACCCGCATCTGGTGCATGGGCAAAAGTTTTAACATGTTTAACACAAAAGGATCAAACAGTTCCCCTTCTAAAAATGAAATTAATATACTTCTTTTATTGTCACATCTATTTTTAAACAAAGGCCCAAAACAAATGAAATTCAGAAAATAAAGCAGTGGACAACTCACGTTAAAAGCTTTCAGGCGCTCAGCTTCTACTCCATCAGATTCATTAACTTTCTCAACATCTTCATGGTCATCATGGTCATCTTCATCTTCCTCTCCACGGTTTAGAGAGAGATCTTCAACACCTCTGTCCATGCTTTCATTCTTTCCAGATTCGTAGCTTGAAAAGCTGTGGGCAGGTGACTAGGAGTAAAGGAAGCCATTTTGTAAAAGATGCCTGAAGAAACCATCGGCTCACCTGAACAAATCTTAGCCTTTAAAAAAGACATTGCTAGGTTTTTATTAGTAGAACTGCAGTCCTGGTCAGGATCTATTTTGTAGAGCGCTTCTGATGAAAGCAGGAGGTCAATGAGCAATTTACGTATATGCGTAATTTACAAATGTATGATTTAGACCTAACATTCACATCAGAAGAAGAGAGCTAATGTGATTCAGGTCAAACATTGATCTTGACTTGTAAGGGCCAATGTAATGTTCCAGCTCTGCCAAGAAATCAAAGTCCAGCCTTAGGCAACTTACGGTACTATATTTTTTCTGTCTAGTCTAGTAGTTTTCTGTTCTTAAAACCATGTGTTCTTATTATAGTTTGCCTCCAAGATATTCACATTTTGTATAGATTTGTGCCCTTCATGACTAACATGAGACATGATTTTATATCTTGTGTACTTTGGAACTAAGAGGCAGCATGGTGCAGTGGTCTGAATGTTGGATTAGGACACTGGGAGACCAGGATTTCAATCCCTGTTCAGACACAGAAATCCAATGGGTAACCTTGGGCAATACAAACTCTCTCAGATTCAGAAGAAAGCAAGGGCAAATCCCCTCTGATGGAATCTTTCCAGGAAAGCCCTATGAAAGGGTCACTATAGTGTCATCATAAGTCAGAAATGACTTTAAGGAACACAATCACAACTAAGTTTAGTATCAAATGACATGTACCCTACTGTTCATATTTAATTTCTCTCTTGTTCTTTATGGTAAAAATTAAATGTACCTCAGACATCAATTGTAATGTCCCCCAAACCATAGAATTTTAATTCTTTTCATTTTTCTGGATATCACATTTATCTTAATGAAACAAAAGAAATTATAAAGCAGTATTGCTTTAAAATACATGCAAATTTGTCCTTTTCTCTGCAAAAAATCCTACCTACATGCCTTTTAGGATACCACTTTTGTAGGCAATGCAATCTTCTGTAGAGAGTTATTTAACTGGGTTAGTTCTGAAAGATCCATCCACTAGGTATATTCTGATTTTTAATAGCTATCAAGACCTCATCTTAGAGCACTGCATAAGAAAAATTAAGCTAAATCCAAATACATTCTTCAGGTTCTCCAAGACTACATAATCTTCTGGGGAACAGAAAATATGCAAACTCAAATAAAGATTAGCTCACATCTAGCACTGAATGAATTACTGTGCAAGCATTTGCAGTATAGTACGTTCACTATTTTCTTCCCCTCACATTCTTTTATCCATCCCAACATCTGACATCATTTTGTAGCATTAAGTCTTACAGGATGCACACTATATATTGTATAAATTTGGCAAAATTTAAGGTTCTGAAACTTGCATATCAGTAGATGAAAAGGGAATAGGTGTGACTGATGTCTCAATAGAGCAAAAAACAAATATCTAAGTGTCAGACAAAACAAATGTCTAAGTGAATAGCACAAGCTTACTATCTTGGTCTGAGCATCCATCCACTTAAATCAAAACAGATAATAGAAGAACTTGACACTCTAAGAGTGGGAGGTATACCGCATCTACATGATCAAACTGAACCATGTATGATGGCAATCCTCTGATGGCAGATAGCCAGAACTATGGTGGCCAGTTACATTCTTAGGTGACTAGGTACATATTAGCCTTGGACAGATCTCATTTCAATTAGGCAAGAAAAATTTTGTAGGCAATTTATTTTATTTTACATTTATTTTACATTTATTTTATATTTATTTTGTTTAAAGACTACTGTAGTTAGACTTGTTGCTGATTGGATAAATAAGTACTGGAAATAATATAACCATACTTCCTACAGTTCATGGCAACATCCAATGGGGACACACTATATTATGATCTCATTATGGTAACATCCAATGAGGCCACATCTAGCTCTGACAGCTTTTTTATGCTGCTAATGCTGTTCCTGGATGTTAAATACCCTAAGAATGAGATAAGGAGACAGATGCTTGTTAGAGGTATAAGGTATGGCATATATACTGTATATTATACAACACACGCACACATACAATCAATAGATTGTATTTTATTGATGCATAGGCTATTTAATTCCTTAGGAATATGTCTCTGTGGCTGGTTAAATGATATGTGGTAAGTGGTTTTATGCCTTACATGCAAAAAAAAAGCAATATATAAGAAAATGTCAAGATAAGGAGAATTGTATGTTCTTTCCCCCAAAAAGATGTGTACTACTTTCTTTATATTGTATTAATAACCTAAAAAATATTAATATGGCTGCTCATTCTTCCATGTTAATTATCCTAAAATTCCAATGCTTACTGCTTAAGTGGAGTGTGATGCTAAATCTCCTAGTTAGGACTAGACAGAAGATGGGAACCCAGTTTGGGAACCCAGGTTACCAGAAGGTGGGAAGAGTGACCTTTCCACAGATAAAGGTTAGCTACCAAAGAAAAAGAAACCTTCACCCCTTAGACTAGAGCAAGCATGAGCAAACTTCAGTTTACCGGCTGTTAGGAATTGTGGGAGTTGAAATCCAAAACACCTGGAAGGCCAAATTTACCCACGCTTGGACTAGAGGGATATGGTACAGAACCATGCCATACCAAACTTTTTACAAGGAAACTTACATTATGTACATGTATGTTTTGTTCTACATTATATACATGTATGTTTTATTTTTACAGATTTATCTGAATTGTTTTTTAATACTAATGTTGTTTAACACTTTTAATATTTGTATATTATGCATATAATTATGTCCCAGCATTGAATGTTTGCCGTTTGTATGTTGTGCTCCGTCCTGAGTCCCCTTCGGGATGGGAAGGGTGGAATATAAATGTTTTAAATAGATAAATAAAATAAATATTGTATATTTTCCGGGCTTTATGGCTATATGATTCCGGCCATGAAAGCCTTCGACAATAAATATTGTATATTTTAAATTGTATTGTAATGCTTTTAATGTTAGCCGCTTTGAGTCTCCTTATGGAGAGAAAAAGTGGGATATTAAAAAAACATAATAATAATAATAATAATAATAATAATAATAATAATAATATCCAAAATTGGGGGGAGGGGCTCATGCAGTGTAAATAAGTAGCTATTAGAGTATTCTTTTCCACTGATGAATGGCAGCAGCTAGACAGCACTGAGGTACACTTCTACAGCTACTCAGGGACTGAGGAGATGAAACTCTGTTTAGTACAAGCATGGGCAAACTTTAGCCCTCCAGCTGTTTTGGACTTCAACTCCCAAAATTTCTAACACTGAAGTTTGACCATGCCTGCTCTAGTAGCATTCAGTTGCTGTTGCACAATCAAAAAAAGGACCTCCGGTACAATCAAACCACAGGAAATGAGGCTGGATGGCCATCTGTTAGGAGTATTTGATTATATATTCTTGCAGGAAGTTGAACGCGCTGGCGTATGAGGTCTCTTCCAGCACTATGATTCTATTATTCTGTATTTTCTAAGAGCAGAAAATATTAGATGGCAACACTGTAGGGATAGAGAGAGTCTGAATTTTTGTTTTCTCTGCAAAGCTTTTCCTTTTGACATATTGGGAGTTACAATATTCTACATTCTTTGGATTAGATAAGAAATTGGCTGGTTAAATAACATATGACCATTTCATTAAACACTGACTCAGTCAACTGTCAAAACTTTGGCAGCTACCTGAAAAATCCAAAACAGGATGATTAGGTTTCCTGTAACACTTTAGATTTTAGACAACTTGCCATTCTACACATATATTTGGCATGATACACACACAAAAAAAATCACTTATCTCAATGTAGCTAAAATATGGAACAATTGGTGACCACCAATACCTGCATCATTCTTGGACTAGGGGTGCAAGTACACTGTAAAACTAATACTGTCTGACACTACTTTTATAAAGCCTTTAGTCTTCTCTGCAAAAGAATACCAATGCCTCACCAAACTACAGCTTCCGTGATTCCATAGCATTTAGCCATTGTAGTTTTTAGACCTATCCATCCAAGCTGCTCCTGAGCCCCCTGCACTTTATATTTGCAACTGCACTTTATGAGGTGGGAGGTGTTGAAGGAGGCTGGAGGGAATTAGAGATTGCAGGGTGGGGGGGATGGAAGAATGGAGAACAAAGCTAGCTAGTACTGCGGAGCTATTACACCAGAAAACAATGTTGGGACCTTGAAATTAGGGCAGAAGAATGGGGCATGTTGGGTGAGGGAGGAGTTCCAGTGGTTGAGGAGCCCCCATAGAAGTAATATCGGGAAGGGGGAGAAACAGGAAAGGGAGACCACCACTTCAGCCTAGGGAAAGAGAGAGAGTTCTTATAGTTGTAAAATGGTCTCCTGACATGGCAAAACTGAGTACCCAGGTTAGCAGTCCCTCTGGATTAAGGTTTGTGCTGTTGAATGCTAGATCTGTAAATGGAAAAACAGCCATCATTCAGGAGTTGATTCTGGATGAGCATGCAGATCTGGCGTGCATTATGGAGACCTGAGTTGGATGAGACTGGGGGGTGGTGCCGTTAATCTCTCTCAGCTTTGTCCAACAGGCTACTCTGTGTAGCGCCAACCAAGATCTGGAGGGTGGGGAGGTGAGGTCACAGTGGTTATAAGAATTCCATCCCCCTGACCAGGTGCCCCATCCCACAGTCTACCACGTTTGAGGATGTCCATCTGAGGTTGGTGACCGGGACAGAATATGGATTCAGCTAGTGTACCAAACACCCCACTGCACTACAGTCTCCCTGCCTGAGCTAGACAGGGTGGTCTCAGGTCTGATTCTGAAGTCCCAACAATTTGTAGTACTGGGGTACTGCAATGTCCATGTGGAGACCACCTTGTCAGGAGCGGCTCAGGACTTCATGGCCACCATGGGGCTGTCCCAATTGGTATCTGGCCCTACCCACTCTCTGGAATGGGGAGATGACTAGGGCTGTAGACATTATTGCTCCAGAACGTCCCCTCTCAAGTAACAGAGTTAAACCA